GAAGTTTGTCTTTTTATCCGGGCGGCCTGAGAACTCGATATGGAACAGGAAATCGGTCTCTAGAAACGAGAACACTTTGAGGCAAATCAGAGTACAAATTGCAGGAATTCAGCAATGAGTTCCAGCTTTGTGGTGGACGAAAGCATAGTACGATTTTACCCAAAAGTTTGAGCGATGTCTATTCAAAGCCAAACGACACAAAAACAACGATAATCGGCCGTCGAGTTTCGGTGATAGCAACTAATGAATCTCTTCATACGAAATAAGGGATCCCACAACAAGATTCATCAAAACCCAGCTACTCTTCATATCTTCGAACGGCAACAATGGGCAACATGTCTGAAAACAAGGTGCCTCCACACGAGATTAGGTAATGCTCTACCAGACAGGCTGAATCGAACACTTGCCAGATGAGGGCAATTAAAATGTACGAACTAATCTTGGCTCTATTTGCAGCCCTCATGTTCTCCTTAGAGGTCCAACAATCTTCTGTCTAAACTAAGACCAAGGCAGTCGCCAAGACACAAAATATTATAAAATGGAAAAAATCAATTTAGAAAAATTTCCATTCTGGGAAAGAATAGGAATCTTTGGCATAAAGTAAAGATGTGTCCCTCCCTGTCATGAAAAGTGCTGATAAATCCGACGCTCGTGGCCATCAGAGCCACGCCACAACGAGGACTATGATTTATCTGAAGAAGAATTGATGAACTCGTATTTTACCACCACACTTGATAGAATGAAGAAATCATTATTTGGCTCATCTTTGTCCCTAAATTGTGTTTCATGCCTATTTAATTTTTAGATATCACTCGGTTAAGACCAATATATTGAAAGTGTAAATGTACACTGAATGAGGATTTTCGAAATTGTCGGAAGACCTTGGCTTGACAATTCAGCCAAGTAAGCCGTTTAAGGTGATGGATGTGTTTCCCACAATTAAACAAGTGGTAGGTCTCACAGTGCGAATAGCTTCCATTTAGTCTTGTGTCCCAAAATGCTGAAATGCAGTTTCGACTTGGCCCGGGTCTTATCATCACCACAAACGAATAGTGCTTGTCAAGCAGCAGCCACAGATGTCAAGGGGTCACAGAGCAGATATGACTTACAAGGCAGGCCAACCACTCAAACCACATTTATGCTCGAACTGGTATTGATAAAGCAAAGTTGTATTTGTCAATGATATGCGATACTACTATACATCGAGTGAGTAGTTAGCCGTGTATTCTGTGAATAATTCGTGGATGGCTGGAAAGCTGAAGAGAAGCTCAAGAATCGCATGCGTGTCTAATAATCGCATTGACACCTCAGCCTACTGCTCACCTCGTGGGTCCACTATAGAGCTTTGGCCACTGTGAATGCCTCCTTTGCTGACATCATCAAGTTTCGTGGTTGGCTCCCCGGAACGTTTGGCACCTTAAAATACGAACAAAATATGAGTAAGAGAAGAGAAAATTTAATCAATATGATTTTGTTATTAATTAAGTCATGACGACCTCCCATATCCAGTTGTACTAATCCGGTTCTTTGAGTACCTTAAGAATATGACGGCGAAAATCACTGGCAGACTCCGGAGTGAGTAAGACCTCTGCTTGATCGAAGAGAGCACTCTTCTAAGAACACGTGATTATTTTTCACAAGTTCTGCTGATACTTCTTGACACATTGCTTGTCACTAATCGCTTTACATGTTTGCGAGCGTGACTTACCTGCTATGCTGTAGCATAGATAAAACACGTTCTGATTACGGAAATATGGAGCATCTCAAACTAAAACAATAAGCTCAGCCATAGCCAAATTGAGAAAAATGGCGCAAATTCGAGATGACTTAAACCTTTCTGAGCTGAAATGAAAAGAAAAAATATTTCTGTTCCACGTCCTTCCAGAATCCTTTAATTTCAGGATGCCCCCAACAAAATAAGGATCATCTTGAATTCAAAAGTCAGTGCCATATTCTGGAGAATATTTGAAGTCCCCAAGGCACTTCATCCATTATGCAAAATTTGTCAGTGTTAAGTATTTGACGTGCTTTAGGCTTTTATGTTCTGTATTGCCTACTCCGAAGAGGTCAACAGAAAATAAGTTTTGTAGTGACTTATGCACAACAGTCACCGTTATTTCTTGTCACAGGCATGCGCCATAATCATAGTTTTGTTATAGTCATCATCATAACTTCCGGTCAGGCCAACTTACGAATCCATTCCACTCGCTTCTTCAAACAAAATCAGAGGTGCTCTATCATAAATTCGGACTGACTACTACTACCCCTAGTTTCAAAAAGCCTAGTTATAAAATAGAAATAGCGTTTATTTGCTCTTTTTTTCGTAAAATACTGACTTTTGCCATGATTATGTCTGTCACAGTACAGACAAAAACTTAGCGCAGGTTGGTCGGGCCGCAGGATGGTGGCCCGAGGACTTTTTTGCACAATACAACAATCCTTCATCGGTTTCTGGTAGGACCACGCCATGAATGCCTTCCAATCAACTTTTCCTACAAAATGAAAAGTCTTGTCACAAAACATAACTAAGGAATTCTTCGGAAACCAGTTTTTCTCTTGTAGGTTGCAGCTATAACTATGTCCGTTATGTGAAGGACGAAAACCCTGCCCTCTTTTACCCAAAGCGAGGGAGGATGTCCCATTGACCGCACCAACCTTGTATTAAAGCCAAGCGGCGGCATAGCAACGCGGATCAGTCATTCACTTATGGTGAGACAGACGAGCGAACCTCCTCATACAAAAGGTCCCCAAGACAAGGTTGCCTCAAGATCGAAACCCAGCTACTCTTTGCACCTACAACAGTATGTCGTGCCGACAGTGCATTCCGGGCACACTTCTAGCTGCCACCTGAGGTGGTACACGTTGAAGCTTCAGCCACTATTGGGAGAGATTTTCTGTTTGTCGATAGCAAACGGTGATTCGTCGGTTTGAGCACGCTGATATCTGTAGGTCGCCGGTGATTTGGTTGTCAGGCTAGAGCAGGGGCTACACCATGACAACGACTTCTGTCTAACCTGGCCTCTTATGCGGTCACCGTTGGTCCCCTAATACCGTCGCCGTAGTTCGCATGTGGGTTCGCTCATCTAGACTTAGGCTGAGCAGCAAAACCCGCCTGCTCTGTACCCCGGCACACTCGGAGGGGAGTTTTTTCCAATAACCAAGGAGCTCGTCGACCTAACCCCATGTGTCCGACACCATACAACCCGAGTGATGGTTGAAATATAAAAATCGGGTGGTGGTGGTCGTTCAGCCCTTGAGGTTTGAATGCCGGTTTAGAAGATGAATGTGCACATTCAGGCAGATGAGCACGCACATGCCTTTAGATTGACATATGACTCGAACTAACCAAATAACTTTGCGCCCCAGCAAATGAATGAGTTCAGGGCGCATAGAGACAATTCGGAGATAAGTCGGTGGGTTTTCCTGACTCGTCGACCAGAGTATTATTGATTGAAGATATGAAGACCAAGATAGG